ACTACTTTTCTTAGAATCTGAAAATTAAATAGTGCCATATTTGCTTTCTTTATTTATTTTATCATAGTTGGTTTAGTATTTTCTTTTATCTATCATATTGATTAAATACAAGCCCTTACTATATGTCAATTAAAATATATAATAAACTACCAAATTATATAAAAAAAAAAACTTTTTCAAAAGCACTTAAGTTCTTCCTTGGATCACTACTTTCTAAATAAGTATCTACATGTATGAGATGTGCGCGCTACAACAAATAAATGGAAAAAGATATATAATAATTTAATTTATATATTTTAAACAGGTTTTATTTAACAATGTTTATAAAAACTTTAAACCGAAATTGTTAGACCTAACGGTAGCTAAGTTCTTAAGATTTCTATTTATCGTAGTAAATGTATGTACCAACAATTACTATGCAATAAATTTTTGACTTTGTTACACAAAAATAAATCATGTTGTTTATATTGATTTGGTAATGTCATGGTTTTTGTAATTGTTATTACTTTTGCTAGACGTGGTGAGATTTTTATAATTGTTCTTAGTTCTTATCAGCCAAAAGACTAAACCGGACCATGTATACACGCAGAAAAATGGCAGACGATTCAAAAATACATACCTTACTGGAATGCGTAGGTTATAAATTAATGTAGATTTGTAATTTATGGATTATTATTCATATAAAACGATACCAAAATAATAGTTGTTTTTTTTTCATTAGTTTAAGGATTTATATAACGACCTTTGGTTAATCAATAAATTATTGAATTAACTGCTCACAAAACCAGTTCTTCGGTAGAAATTCAAGTTATACTAAATCTTGTCAAATTCGAATCTTGTTTACTGACGTTTACTGAGATTGGTTTAACGTCAAATATTTTTTTTACATGGTGTTGATAAAATATTTAATTAATATTATTTGGTCGGTTACGCAAAAGGTTAAATTTCTACAATAAATTTTGAACTTAGGATAATGTCAAGGCTTACAACCAACTTGATTAATTTAACCCTAATCTGACGCGTTTTCTCAAAATTATAAACAAAATTGATCTCTTCCAAGCATAATTATTCTCTTAATTAAGTATTAAATTTTCTTTTTTTAAACTGTCATTTCTCAACTGTTAGGGTAGTGACTCGACGTCTAACACAGTGCTGTTATATACGTAATAGGAGTTCAATCAAATAAAAGTACCTCAAAAGTTAATAAAGGTTTTATTATGGAACCTCTATGATGTAATGGCGCTATGCTCGATGTCGAGTTCAATGCTGATTTAATTACAATAGAAAACCATTAGACATATTCTGCTAATGTTTAAGTAATAAAAGCATCTTTATAGAATTCAGCTAGCTGCATCATTTTGCCAATGTATAGGTATACACGAAGTCCAATATTTTTAGTGCTTTCTCGTTACAAATCAATGGTGACAGGTAATAATATATAGTACTTCAGGGTAATAGCAAACTGCGAGTAGATGAGATTCTATTGAGGTGCTATTATTACGTAAACATTAAAGAATTGGTCTTAAGTACTTGTTAGAAAAACACCAACAATGGTTTTACAGTCAGGTACATATTTTTATTAATTTATAAATACATTCCGTACACGTTATAATATTAAAGTTAATCACAAGTGTCTAGAATAAGGAACTGATTATCAACCGCCTTCATTTGTAAACTATGAAACATGTTTGTTGATCTATAGTAGTGGTTTTACTTGATCGTGGCAACAAGTTTTTATATAAGGTCGTAATTTTTACTGATATCTCATAAAAGTAACCCTTTCATTTGTTTTTTTTTAATTTTATTATTTTAAGCATACATGTTGGTACCTTACATGGCGATATTTCAAAAATAATATGTCATCTTCTTTAGTCGACCGTTATTTTAGACTTAAAATGAAGTAACTTAGCTAAACACGCATTGTTATCTAAACCTAATCTGTATGCGTCATTTTTATCGGTTAAAATTATAAAATTAAATATTTGAAAAATCATCAAAATATATAATAAAAAAAAAACAGTTAATTTGTTGTTTCTTTAATGGATACAATTTTGGATAGGCTTTTACAATATTCAATCTTACACTGTTCATGGGACAGGTGTTAAAACTAACACTAATCCAAAGTTTTGAGTATGGAAACCAGCATAGCGCCCTTAGCGGTAACTATCAAGAACAAGAAAACCATACAAACTCATTAGAATTTATATGGAAATGAAAAAAAAAATAGAAATTAAATTTTAAATAAGAAGGTAATATGAGTAATTTGTAAATTGAAACTGCGTCAATTTTAAATAGCTTTTTTCCATCATATTGCTTTTGAAGGAGCTTAATACTATGTAAAAAAAGAAAACAGAGGCAAATTTTGAAATACATGCAATCCCTTTCAATTTAACATTTGAAATATATTCACGATGTTAAAACTGTATTAGCGATGCGATCGTGAATTTTTTGAAAGAAAAGGATCGTAAATATTTAATGAAAAATATCTTGTGTGGCTTCCTGTTCGGGAGCGTAGGTACTTAAGGATTGTTTGCACACTCATCAAGATACTTTTCGACCCACAAGCGCCTGAGTATTAAAAATCGCGGTTTGAAGTCCTCGGCGCCTCTCTACAGAAAAATATTTATTCCAGTAGTAGACTTGTACTCTAAACCCCTTCTCACCATTCTAGATTTGTATTTCATTCCTTATCTCTAACTGCCATCCGTCTTTGGAACGAATTGCCTATCAACGTCCGAAGTGCTCCGAACAAATTTGCATTCAAGACATTACCATGTTTCAAACATAATTTCTTGATCTGACACCAGACTCTGTTTCGGACATTATATGTTATATTTCTATATAATATATGCATTTATTTATGTTTGTTTATATACAACTATTATTGTATATATTTAGATATATATAGTTCTTTTGTAGGGATGTCACTAGCGTACACCTACGTTTGTTTATCGCCGCTTTTAAAGTTCTATATAAAATTTACTGGTTAACTAGTAGAGAATGCCTCTTTCTCAATTATGATTGAATAAATAAATAATAGTTTTGATATGCACGGGTGTAAAGAATTTTAACGAAACTTGGTACAATTATTTTTCATACTCCTGAGCTGGTTATAGTAGACTTTTCATCACGCTACAATCAATAGGAGCAGAGCAGTGAAGGGAAATGTTGGGAAAACGGGAGAAGTTACTCCATTTTTTAAGCTTCCGTCGCGTGTGCAACCTTAATGGTTAAAGCTACCCAGAAATCATGTATGACGGAAATGTTCTCCTTAAAATTATATAAAAAATATCCCACGACAGCATATGTCTATCTTTTATGGTTGACTCACAATAACACGTGTAACTCCCGATAGCTTAGCAGTTCGAAGCTTTCTGATTGTATTTGTCTATTGTCTACTCTTACGTTTATAACACTCTCAGTCATCCCTAATTAAAAAAGTTAACAGTATTAAGTATTCCATAAAAAAGAATCATAGAAATCGGTATAGAAATATATTAGACGAAATTGATTTTTGAGAAACACATTGGTTTAATGACATTAGTCTTCAGGTAGCTACAAAGACGAACACATGACAAAGACATGTCTTATAAAAAAACAGGAACCTTGGGTTTGTTAATGTCAAGTTAATAATTTCATTTTGTTACTATTTTATCATCCTGGACCCGATAATCTATACTAATATTATAAAGCTGAAGTGTTTGTTTCTTTGTTTGAACGCGCTAATCTCGGGAACTACTGGTTCGAATTGAAAAATTCTTTTTGTGTTGAATAGACCATTTATCGAGGAAGGCTTTAGGCTATATAACATCACGCTGCAACTATAAGGAGCGAAGAAATAATGAAAAACGCGGACGAAGTCGCTGGCGGCCACTAGTTATAAATAATTTGTGACAATTATGAGCAGTCTTAAATATTGTAGATCTTTATTGTAATGTTTAAATATGAGAAAGACATCAAATAGTAACTTCTTAAAAAACAATGACATTCTAAATAACAATTAGGTACTTACAATAATCAGTACCTATATACATAAGGCTGATTATATTTAATTAAGATGGATAAACACTTATTTTTCATACACACATAAAAAAATGTAATTAATTTAAAAGTCAGTAGGCAAATGCCATTATTTTTACATACTCATATAAGGTGCACACATAATTTGCATAGAAATCCTAAATGTACATTTATCTGGAGGTTTGCCACGAAATCTTTCTCACTCTACTAAATATGAAAAATTTTAAAAGCTATCGCGATGGTTTTTAATATTTTAAGTTGCTTCGAATGAAAAGTTGTTAATTTTTTAATAATTAACAACTTTTCATTCGAAGCAACTTACTCTTCTGCTGAGTGAGGTGCTCTAACTGTGTTTTATACTCGTGTTTGAGGCCTCAAAGAATGAGGAGCAAAATGAGGTAGTTCAAAGTTGAAAAACGATTTTGTCGTGACAAATAATTCAAACGAGGTACCTCACGAGTGAAGGACTCATCACTAAAACCTAGAACATTCTACATGATGGTAGAGTCTATCTCAGCCCCTATAAATATGCGGTGGGCTATACGTCCCGGTATTCTTTCAGTGACTAGTAAAATGAATACGAGACCGATCGAAAGCGTTAACGAATACAAGCGATACTAGTGATATAAATAAAGTCTGACTATAAATTCAAATTGGTATTAATTTTTTATCCCGAACCCTAGTCGTAACAATATGACATTTGTAAGATATTCACGAACTTCACGTTCCAACTATTTGACATGTGTCTGAATGGTATTGATTGAATGATATCGTTAATTAGAACCATCTAAGGCTGTAAACTTTATATTTCCATTTATCGCTATCACAATCGCTACACCTTTGAAAAGGCTTGCATGCGATAGATATTGAATATGACAATTAGCCCAAAGATAACCTTTATCACGAACAAATCGTATGCCGGCGTTAGAAAGATTACAATATGATTTTTAATGTTTGATTCTTACCTATTTTTGTTTCAGAGACTGAATACAACAAAATGCCGCCTTTATATGGCTTAGACGACTATTCATCCTGCTTGCTGGAAGCCGGTGGAACGTACTGCGTAGCTGATTTCGGATTAGTCGGAAAGAACTCTTTGATGCATATGATAAAGGTACCTAGGTATTTATTATTTTAAACTAGCTGTCTTGGTTTTGCACGAGTGTTTTAGGTAAAAATATGGTCTATCACCCTACAGTTGAAGTTCATTTGATCGCCATGAAATAACAAGCTCGAGTTTAAGTTTCCTTTGGTTTTCTCCTTACCATAATATTATAAAAGCGACATCTCAAATAATAGAGAATACTTCACAAAATGATCGTATGAATCAATTGTAGCGATATCAGCGGAACCCATTTTAACGAAATCATTTTCTTGACTGACAGTACGTAATTAAAAAAACACAATTGCTAAAAGTGAACTACAAAGTAAAAAAAAACACGATTGCCAAAAATGAGCGAAAAAATAAAAGAAACATTATATATCAATTTTGCATTCACAATGCTATATTGAAAATGCTTAAAAAAATCTCATATCAGAGTACCAGGGATTAAATGGGCTACACAAAATTCTTATTGTAATCGTGGGATTTGTTTCGCCAAGCCACATTACAATTTTTTTCTTTAATTTTGATGTATAAGAAGTCTTTGATAGACTATAAAATCTGTCTTCTTTATATATAGTTGTAAATATAACTTGTTAATTACAAAACAACTTTATAAATAAACATACTACTATAAAGAGTCAAGAGCACGATCCGATAAAAACATGATCGCAATTTTCCGAGAAAATCAGTAGGCCAATTCATAATATCACGTTCCATGAGTTACGGTTTGTAATTACACGACTGACAATTAAAATACTACGAATGACGCATATTGTAGTCATCAGGAAAATATTTGATTACACCCACCCGGAAAGTTTATTCTTAATAACTTATCATCAGAGGAAAAAGTCTCTCACCGACTGTGTTATCTTTTTATACCCCGAGGTATCAAAATGTACGTCATCAGCACAGAACATAGAGAGAGAGATAACTCTAATTCAAAGTGATAATAAATAATTTACTTTAACATGAATGTTGAACTGTCACGTGACTGTGCAGCTTGTATACGGGGTACCAGGAGGGAAAAATTATTTTAAGATTATGCACATTTTGAAAAATTGGGGACATCATTTTATGTGTGAACTATTAAGATTAGATTTTGCTGTGACCAAGTAAATAGTGAAAAATAACGCTTATCCCTATATAATTGATTAAAATATCTTATAAAAAACGCAGTAAAAAAACTAAGAAAATTTAATGATAAACTCTATCATATGTCTGTGTCTGTCTCATACGAAAATTAAACGAGGGAAACTGAAAGAAAAAACAAAAAAAAAAACAATAGAATTTTAGTATTAATTATATTAAGCATAATTTGTTTTTTTTTCTTACTGGTATCATTCCGATTGTGCAAATTAGTCATATGACATAATATTAGCCGATAAAATAAGAGCTTTAAATTTTGTAACGAAACAGTTAAATGTTATAACTAACACGATCATTACAATAATAAATTGATCATAGCCATGTTTGTTATACTTTATTATTCCACAATAAGGAATCGCTGGTTAGTATGAGTTTCAAAGCCGAGACAAAAAAGTTTGAAGACAGACACAAAAGCGATAAGTACGTACAAAGGTCAATCTACATAAGAATAAAGTGACATCTGTTTGAGACATGCGTCTATAAACTTTTGTGCAAAAATGGAGCAACAAAAAAATTGATAAAAGCTGTTCTGTGGACGATTGTTTAAAGTGACTATCTTAACTCGATTTCTATAATAATGGTTTCCCATTTTGAATTAGCATAATGAAGTAAATTAAATTCACGCCTATAAATTAATTTTGTAAATTAAATTCACACCACCTACAATATTACGTAAGTTGAAAACATGATTTTTTGTTTGTGTAGATATTATGTTGTTTTTAAAGTCATTTGATAGGTTTAGGTCTAAAACGGATAGGGCAAAATAAATTATGTAAACAGGGCAATCCGTTGTAAAGTAATTAGGGAAACTGAAATATAAGTAATGCAAATTAGGGAAGTCCAGTTTAACCAGTTTCTATATTTTAATATTTATTTGCGTGTAAATAATTAACCGAATCTTCGTAAAAAAGTGCCTGGATAGTTCATTATTTCATCTATTCAGTATCAGTTCATCTATTATTTTCCCTTATAAAGAGTGTTATTTAGTTTTATATAATTATGGCATATACTTATCCATAACGTTGTTATGAAAGCTCTAAATAAATATGTTTTAGTTATCGATTACGATCCATATAATTAACAATACGATTCCGAGCAGCAGCAGCCTATCGATACATTTCAGACAAATGGAGGCACAGCACTATTTTTTGTAAAAGTGCACAAAATTAATTACATTGCTTTCTAGAAACGGGGTCAGAAACATTGATGTTGGTTTGAGCAATCAATGTATATTTTATTTGACATTGTGTCAAATTATTACGTTTTTTTTTATATTTTAGCAGTAAAATTGTACTTACCAGTGAAAGGAAATGTTTGCATTAGTTAGATTGTATACTTTGCTTTGCCTTTTGCAAGTGATAATAGCACAAAACGGCATTTTTTATAGAAAAAATCTGTAAAATCACCACTCGTCAATTGACGAACGACTGGCAAACGTAAACCCGAGGAAAGGGCGTCATATGAGTAAAAGCGCATATGCCAGCCATGCGTGTCCCGCCCACTTACTACTTCTAATCTCTCTCTATGTTCTGTGGTCATCAGTCTATTAATGTTCCGACTGATAGGGCACTACCTTATGAATTTAGATAGAGAGAACAGCCATAATCCGCCGGGGCCTAAGGCGGATTAACGGGTCGGGGACAACAACTTAACGGGATTTTCAAAGTTCGAGGTAGTAAATTTGTGGTCACTATTCCTATTAACTCTAAAGGGCTCGATGCGAATTCCGCAATGGACGGCCATAGGATGAGTGACCAAAATTTATTATCTTGAACTCCTCCGTGCTTCGGAGGGCATGTTAAATCGTTTTAGTCCCGGCTGCATTTACGGTATATTCATATATTCGATTCCATCCATAGGGTACCACCAGCATAAGGGACATTCATACACTGGCGATGACTGCTATGACTTGTCATTGTGAAAGTTGCTTAACCTTCACATCCAGACCACTGCACCATCGGGTTCCTCTTAATGTATACTCCTTGTAATAAATCTAATACTCCTCTTCATATAAAACATATATTACGAATCCTGTTGTTATTAAGTGGAAAATAAGTTTTAGTTCATTCAAGTGTCAACTAAGTACACTTATCAAGAACAAATTAGATCTCCCGGCCCTTGCTTCATAATATTACAATATTATACGGATTGTTATAACAATTACCTGTTCCTTGACTATTAATAAGTTTGCCGTTGATCACTTGAACCTTAATATAATAAAACATAATTAAATAACAATATGATTACTACTGCCGAGATGAAAGGTGATCACTCTGTGACTTGTGACTATGTAATTACATCGCTGTAAATGATATCATTTATATTAGCTCAAATTATATAATAACTTCATATTTTTTTAATTTTATTAAGAAAAAACACATATAAAATGTCATATGCGTTTTAAGATCCCAAATAAAGAAAAGTGTTTGGCTATTTAAAATGATGATGATACAGTCAACGTCATTATTATTGAAATGACAAATTACGCTAATGAAAAATTGCGAAAGAATTCGGTTGTCTCCATAAAATTGAACTTCCTGCGCTTCGATAATAAAGACGATAATTGTATAACAGTATGAGTGTTACACATTGTAGAATGTTATTTTCTACATTGCCCCGACCGGGATGGAATGAGACACCTTAAAACAGGGTGGGAGCCAATCAACCAAAGACGTAAATTTATTATAAGAAAAAGTATATAGTTTGCACATACTGCTAAACATTTTTTAATATTTTGCAGTATGTATTATTTTTTGGAAACATATCAATGACATTAAGAAGTCTAATTATTTAATTATTATGTTTTTGTTGGCAGGAATACTCGGAATATCGCTTGAAACACTTCAATCATACTCAAATACATCGTGGAATATGCGTTAGTAACACCTGCAAACGATTCAAAAAAGATCCAAGTTCAAATACCGAAAGGAGTCTAAGTAAGACCCTTGAAGTATGCTTGAATGATACCATCTACAGAAACTATGAGTTGGAAGTAAAGTTGGAAAATATTCGGTATTGCAAGAAAGCAGAGGATAAAAAAACAATAGATAATTATGATTTAGCAGTAGCAATAGTTTATTTAATAATAATAGGGTTAAATGCACTGGGAACTATATATGATAAATGTAGAAAAGATAAGAAATCAGGTAAATTTCATATTAAAAATTAAAATTGATTTGAAAATATTATAAATAACTGAATATGAAATAATACTTGCACATTATGAGATAGTACTAAGTCGTATATTGGTGTTTAGTTATCAATAACGTTTTGTATTCCAGGTAACAAATACTTATTAGCTTTTTCAATATCACAGAATTGGGGGAAATTAGTTGCACCTAGCGGTAGAAATTCAGATCCCAGAATAAATAGATTGAAACTGTTTCATAGTATGAGGTAAGATAAACATAGATATATATTTTGTCAAATAACCTACCAGTTCAAGTGAAAAAGCTTTCGGTACAAAATTGTATAGGTACGAGGGTCAAACTGAAAGTTCTTAGAAAATCAAAAACTGATTACATTAGCCAGTTATTAGTTTTATTATATCTTTTCAAAATATTGTCCATTCACGTCAATACACCGCTGCATGCGATGGAACCACTGGGAAAAGCACTTTGCCCACTCGTCCTTAGGGGTCTCTTCAATGGCATCGCGATACGCAGCCACCGCTTCTTCAGCATTCATAAACCGCTTTCCTTTAAGTTTTTCTTTAATTTTTGGAAATAAATAAAAATCACAAGGCGCGAGGTCGGGGCTATACGGCGGGTGACCCAGTAATTCAACGTTTGATGTCGCCAAATAGTCGATCGTTCGCTTGGCGGTGTGCGACGAGGCGTTGTCGTGGTGAAGGAGGATCCTACTGCGAGGTCGTTTCTCTCGAACTTTTTCCAAGACAAGTGGCAAACAATTGGTAGTGTACCATTCTGCAGAAACTGTTTTTTGATCCTCTAACACAATTGTTGCAAAATGACCTATCCTTCCAAAGAACGAGGCCACCATTTTTTTTTCCCGCACTTCGATCTCTCTTCACTTTAGTTGGCAACTCCTCGAAAGGAAACACCCACTGAGCAGATTGTCTTTTGGTTTTAGGATCATAACAGTAAATCCAGCTTTCGTCACCTGTTAGTATGTCGAACACAGCATTTGAGTCACCTCCGTTAAATCTTTCAATCATTTTACGACACCAATCCACACGATGGAGTTTTTGAGCCTCAGTCAAATTATGAGGTATCCACCGGGCGCAAAGCTTCCTGACCGCTAAATGTTCGTGGAGGATTTTGTGCACTTGACTCATACCGATGCCTAAGCTTGTCCGAATCTGTTGATAGGTCACTCTTTTGTCAGTCTCTATCATACGCCGCACAACACAGATGTTATCTTCAGTCGTCGCCGTAGAAGGCCGTCCCTCACGTAAATCATCAGTGAGATTAGTGCGACCACGTTTAAACTCATTAAACCAGTTGTAAACAGTCGCACGAGATGGGGCTTCATCGTGAAAGGCCAATCGTAGTCTATCATAACTTTCTTGTTGACTTAAATGACATCGAAAGTCATAAAAAATCATTGCACGAAAATTTTCTCGTGTTAAATTCATGATGACGTGACACAGACAATTTTCAATTTGCCGCCAAATCGTAAAACAAATGACAAATGAATGAAATATATACTCAGTAATATTGGCAAAGAGTTATATTTTCAAATTTTAGAATTATTTTTTTATTATATTGTTTATAAGTGGCCAGTTCTAAGAACTTTCAGTTTGACCCTCGTATAATATTTTTCTTATTTATTTCTTATAAAAATGATCTTGGCCACTATAAATTACATATAAAAATGTAGATATAGACAAATTACTGATTCTTTAACAGTGTCAAGTTAATGAAAGTGTCGGTTCGCAGTATCGTCGATTATAATCTCTACTCACTTTCATGAAGTTTTGATTGTAATCGTTTTATTGTCAACACCACAGTGGAAATCTCAGCTTTCGTATTTTATTTCTTAATAATTCATCCGTTTTCAACTATAATTATACAGTTCAGTCTCTCGAGTCTCGTGTCTATCTCACTACGGGATGTTGGCAAAACTTCTGTGTATAACGGAACAAAGCCATAACTAAAAAAAACTATAATTATTTTTTTCTTTGTTTCAGAGCCATGACAATAATCTGCGTCATATTTTCTCATACCGTACTTGTTGTAGCATATGCGTACGTTGATAACCCGTTATTTATCGAGAAGGTGAGATAATTTATAGCATTGTTCTGCCTTTCAACTAAAATTTGAAAAAGCATAAGATTCTAAGACGTACTTGTATAAAAAAAAACTTTTTAAATCGAACCGTTATTATACAAAAAAATAATTGCCGGCAGCTTTAAAAGCAGTTTATTAAATAATCCGCTTTTGAGATATTTATAACATTTAAAATATGAAATACGTTCTATTTAAAACAAAATATTTTGCTTTATTAGTGATATTAATATTTTTTATAATAGGTAGCACTAAAAATATTTAATATCTACTTATATAAATATATTCAACGTAGTGAAAGTCATAGAAAAGGATATTTTGTTTATTTGCTCGATATAATGTTTCCCAATAATCTATACTCATATTATAAAGACGGAAAATTTAATTGCTTGTTTGTTAGCATTAGATATACTCCGAAACTGTTGGACCTATTTATTCTTTTATCGACGGGAAGCTACATAATACACGGGAGCCATAGGCTACAATTTTTATACGTTAATAGAAATTGGTTCACAGTTTAAGAAAAAAATCGCTATAAACATTCTACTTTCATAAAAAAATATACAAACTCGTTGAACATAGCTGCTTTCAGATTTTGAATGAATTTAAAATCTTTATCTCTTTAATATCTTTAATTTAAATAGTATCTCAACGCTATCAGTATCTGCAATATACCTCACTGCCAAATAAACGTTCTAAAAATAAGACGCCGTCTTTGGAAAAACGATATTTTATACGAAATTCGTCGTCATTGTACAAAAAGAAGTGGATCGTTTCTAGTTCAAAATATTTTAGATTTTCTTCTCGTCCTAAACATTTGCGATCGATTGATCAAATTATTAATTTCTTCCACTTCTTGTATTGTCTAAACGCCATATTTCAATAAACACATGTTTCAATATTATTAAAAATTATCTAATACGGTAAATATTTGGTAAATATCAATAAAGCATCAACAATATCAAAATGTCATTTGACAAATGCGTTGCTACACCAGAGTTATACTAGGGTGACGGGCGGAATATCGGTGGAATAAGTTTTGTTAGAACGTTACATCCAGGTTATGCTAAGCATAAGTTACACCGAGTTTATAAGTTGACATTTTGCGTATTCTGCACTAATTCTCGGTATAACATTTTATACCACGTTTATAAGTGAGTTTTTAGCTGGAATAAACATATCATCTAAATAATTAGTTGATCTCTGATGAAAATCATATTTTGTTTTTCATAAAAGGAAAACTTTCGATGAAATTTAAATGAGTTCAGATCTGACGATGGCATCTATGAGAAAACCATATAAGTCTTAAATTTGCATTAAGTATGCATGATGTTTGTTACCTAAAAACTTTTTAGAGAGGTGAAAGGGTATAAATTAATTAATAACCTACAGAAAACCTCCGCCCGAAATCGGTTTTATTTTTGTTACAAGTTTTTAGTAGTAGTAATCAAGAAACCCCTATAGTTTTACCAAGTCCGTCTGTCCGTCCGTAGTGTAGCTCAAAAACTAAAAACTATTAGTACTTGACAGTTATCATTTGGCATGAGTATACACGCTAATGACGCAATGGCAAAGTAAATATCGAAAAAAAAATGTTTTTATAGTACCTACCCTACAAGTAAAGTGGATATTTTAACGATGTCCCACACTATCGGGAATATTGAGGCTATAGGAAGGCCGTTTTTCGATTTAGTAAGCTGTTGGTGACTTATTAAGGAATTGAAGAGCTAATATTCTTTAGAGTCGAGTGTCCCCCCTCTACCAACTAAACAGTATAACGAAGTTAAAAGCAAAACTATCACGCTGAAATTGGCTTTACAAGTTGACTAATTGTATTTAAGACGAAAATTTCAAAGAACGCATTTTTCAAATAATAATGGTACGGAACCCTTCGTGCGCGAGTCCGACTCGCACTTAGGTGGTTTCATCTAATTAAAGACTTACAACTTACATACGTATAATATATTTATTTATTTAAACATATTTAATATATGAATTTTTCTTATGAATGTTACTGCGTCGATTATATTTTACTCATCACTGGCAGTAGTAAAGTATTAAAATGTATAGTTCATATTTAGGCATACGAAGATCCACTGAAGCAGATCCTTTTTAACGGCAGTCTCGTGGTGCATACGTTCTTCGTGATGTCAAGCTTCCTGATGGCATATAATCTCGAACTTACTCAAGAAAAGAAAAACATTACGTTAGCGAGTTGGCCGCTAGGAATACTCATGAGATGGTTGAGGTGATTACATTATATCAATAGGACTGGATAGCGTCCTATACCTCTAGACTTTAAGAAAAACGGAAACCCTAAAGAAATTATTCGGTTGTCAGTCTGTATTTATTATAACGAAACCAATGTTACCATTAAAGTTTATGATTAAATCAATTCAGGGATTTTTAAAACAATTACAACAGATCTCAAGTGATATAGACCAAAAACACTAAGATTTTTCTACTGATATTCAAGCCTGTGTCTTACTTTTTCTTTAATTTTTTGTTAACTTCTTAGGTTGTCGCCAGCGTATGCTCTAGTGTTGGCGACTATATGCACTTGGATGCGACATATTGGATCTGGTCCTTTATGGGACTTAACGGTCATTACTGAAGCGAACGCCTGTCGTCAGTACTGGTGGGCGCATCTACTTTACATCAACAATTATGTATACAACGATGCATATTGTGCACCGCAGACCTGGTAAGGAATATAGTATAAATTATGTCTTAGCTAGTTTTATAATGTTCTGTCATTCCAAATTTATATGTAAAAATAAAATTCAGCACCAGTATGCCCATCTCAAATATCATTTTATTATTACAAAAGTTATGTCAGATGGACTTTGTCAAAATGTTCTACATATGCTGGTATTGTGTAAATATACGATACTTAATATATATATATACCAAGTCTTATACTCAAAGAAAATTCAATGGAACGAAGGTAACAAAGTAGCTAGATCCGAAATAGTATTGGAGAGTTTATTGTCCACATCATGCTTCCTAATCAGGAAAAGAGATAATAAGAGTCGACAATGTATTTGGAAATCATTATAAAAAACTAAACAGGTTTTTACTCAAAACCTTCGATCTTTTGTCTTGATGAACTTTTCACTGTATGATCATGGATTTTATTTCGTGAGTAATATTTTTTTTATTAATGTTCTCCAGGTATTTGGCGGCTGATACACAGCTGTTTTGCTTCGGTCTACTCATGTGCTTATTGTTCCGAAAAACGAAATCGAGATTAATAGCGATGGGCTTTATATTGACGATAGGTCTGCTGATAGTAGCAATGCACACTTACTTCCAAGACTTGGAAGCAGTCGTTCTACAGAGTCCTGAGTGAGTACCTATATCATTAGTGTATTAATATCATGATTACTGGGGCACAGGTCTTTTCTATGGATGGAAAACCTGCAGATCCAGGTGGGACCAAGGGTGGGTTTACGAAACACGCAGCTTGAGATAGTAAATTTTAGTCACCCATCCTAAGAACGGTCTTTGCCATTGTTGCTTATCCTACGCATCACAGACCGAATTTTAATGTTATTGATATCCTCAATTAAGCGACTTTGACGACCTCCGCAGCCTAATGGTTCACATGCCGGTTTCCAAGTGCCGCCATCTCTGGGATCCCTGGTTCGATTCTCGTAATTTAAAGTACTCGTATTTTCGTAGGAGACTGATATACTATATACTGTCTTAATAAAAATGTTATTTGTAAAGCTACGGCCGGATTTTGAAAAGTTTCGTAATACTTTTTGGTGCGTCTGTTGTAGGGGATTGCTTCTCAAGTTATTAAACTCTTTGGGGCATAGGCTAGTTTATTTAAACCGGTAACATAACTGGTTTAAATAGGTAGCCCATTAGTCCCTTCAAATGTATAGTCATGGTTACTAGACTAGAGATTACACTAAAAATATATTTTTTACAAATATCGTTGCCAATAACCGTTTAACACCCAGTTGCACAAATGACTTTACCGATACAATTTGAAATTAAAGTCGTCATTAAATTTTAATGGACGATTGTTAACATCTCTTTAAACTTATGACAATTTAATTGAATGTTTGGTGCAACTGGGTGTAAATGTGTATTCTTCTTTTTCTTAAGGTGCGCCCCCGACTAGTGGAGGATGGCAGTCAACTTCTCGTACTTTGTTCTGTTTAGGGAAAGGCGAAATATAACATGTATTAATATTGTTCAAATATCAACAGAACCTACCGCACCTTGTATGCAAGTGACAACACGTTCCGATTACTCTACATCAGAGGGCACACGAATTTATCCACATACAGTCTAGGGCTTACCGGTGGATTCCTCACATACTACTTGCAAAACCAAAAGAAGCAATTCAATAAACATAAGGTAAAATATAGTACATTAGCTATTTTCCAGTAACTTCCCCAAAGTAAATTATAGGCTATGTCGCCCGTGTATGATGAAATTTCCCGTAGGCGACAGAATGTTCATGATTGGATAAGTATTAATTACCTCCTTCAAACAAGCAGGCACAGTTATAAACTTTCATCACCAGCCTATTAGTGTCCCTACTTCTGTGGTTCAGGCCTTCCTTGGATAGAATAGAATTAAATCGAATAGAGAGAATGGGTCATGACCCACGCGGGCCTGTGGTCACCCATCCTATTATAGGCTAAGTTGCTTTACAACCGTACTTTAGACCGAGTGCGCTTACCACAGCACCATCGAACTCCGAGAGTTATAAACTTCATCTCTTTATAATATTAGTATACATGACTTACATCCTTTTTTTATGTATGTTGTTTTAAATAAGCTTTCAGGGTTATTTACATTAGAATGATAGTTTTTTTTAATGGGATTGCTACCAACGTAAATACGTGATTATGCGTAACTACAACTACCATTCATAATTATTATTTTCTAATTATGAATGGTAATTAAGTCGTGCATATTCTCTTTTCGATAAGATTTTTTTGGCTATCCTTGACAGATATTCCGCTGGATTATGTGGCTACTTGTCCCCTTGGGTGTATCAGTTATCCTCACCGGAGGATTCTTCTACATGGATGGTTCGAAGCCTTCTACCACACTGAAAGTGCTCTATGCCGTACTCTACAAGCCCATCTTCCAAATCCTTGTCATTACTCTTATAATGGGAGTTATCTTCAAAATTGAAAGTAAGTATAGTATTAATATTTTAAGTCACCTCAGTAGGTTTATGGTTTACAAAAATAAGTAGAAATATTGAACTTATATCTAATTCTTAATTAAAAATGTTTAAACAATCCACTTGGTCCCTGGCACCCTGAGATTTGATTCGAACCCATGACCTTTCGCAATCTGTGCGACTGATCTAACTATTGAGCTACCTAGGACCCAACTGGACTGACGAATTTTTCAAGCGCTTGTTACTCTTTCGCTTCAACAGAGCGTATGCATTGCTGGGCAGGTTAATCCACCCAAACAGTAGAAAGAAATAATTTTCCAAATAAATATAAAACAAATAAAAAAAAATAAACTTTCGATAAAGATGAACATTTGTTCTTATTTTTATTTGATCAATTTAGCATTAACAATGCTATCTATCAAATATATTTTTCACGATTAAGTACCACTATTGCGTACTTTACTTGTTCTAGACGAGATTACTTATTCTCACACCGGCTTCAAGGTGTCGATATCTCTGAGGTTTTAGTTCCGGATCGGTTTAAAGTATAAAATAAAACTTTAATGTCTTGAATCAGATTCTTATTGGTTGACTTATTTAGACATCTTCGCAATGTATATGAAGTTTATTTAAGTTTTGTCTATTTATACTTTTAGCGGTTATAAGGGGAATCTTAGAATGGCGAGGATTCACTTGGATGGGGCGTGTATCGTATGGAGCTTTCCTGGTGCATACAATGTTCCAGCGCGGATTGGTGGGCAGTTTACCACGACCGATTTACCTCACAGAGTACTATGTGGTGAGTTATTAACGTCACCATCACTACCAACTTATTCTGCCTTTTCATTGCATTATTTGTTTGCTCCCTTAATTAATATTTGCCATTTTAGGGGTTCAGTACCTAAAAGGTAATATCGAGACTATTATTAAGACTCCGTTGTTCGTCTATCTATCTCATGAATCGTGATAGCTGTTATAATTGAAATTTGCACACATGCTGTATCTCTATTGCTGCTATACAAATATGGTACGGAACTCTTCGTGCGTAAGTCCGATACGCACTCGGTCAGTTTTTTTATCAGTTCTAGATAATATCATAAAGATGAAAGAATTATGAGTTGGATCTTTGTGATGTGCAATGAATATGATCTTAACATAAAAATATATTATGCCATAAATTAAACAACTTTAAAACTGTTTTCATCGCGTTTGTATTTAGTTTTATTGACGTATACGACTAAGCTTATAGTCTATGTCACCTTAAGTCTTTGTGGACACGGAACCTGAAAGGGGTCTGAAACATCAATCATTCATATAAGAAGGGGTATTAAAACACGAGAGTCTGATTCAGACTCAAGTGTTTAAATACCTAAGTTATATGCAATTTCATAGACTACTTTACCTTCACTCATAGGAAAAATTGAAATTAAACAAAGTAGGTAGGTTACAAGGATAGTAGTTTTTGGGATCCCGAATACAAAAACACGATCGGCAAAATAAATGTATGGGAAGCGCGGGAAATTAAGTTCAAACTACGCATGCGTGCGCCATTTTTTTCACAGTTCGAACTGCGCATGCGCGCGCCTTTTTTTTCATATTCAGCCTAAAATCATTTACTAGTTTAATGAATAAAAAAAGATAGCGGTACTATAATGAGTTTTATTTTAATTTTATGTATCTGCGTTTATAAAGTGCGTATGTATAGAATCGTCTTTGAAGTCGTAATTCGAATTTTTCGATTTGAGTGTAGATAATAGTTATTTATATTTGAAATTATATTTTTATTTGAAATTATATTTTATTTGAAAATATTCGTTCTAGGCTCCTTGAAATACTTTTGCCTCTAAAGTTTGACATATTTTCATCAATATTTATAACAAATTTTTGGTTCTCGGCCAAAAAAAGATATGAAATACTTTTAAGCACGTGTGCAGTAAAGGATTTCAGTACATTTTTATTTAACACGTGTTTAAAGACTCACTTTCGGTGTTTACAATGGATTAAAAAAATAGCGCTTTATGAGCAACTGCATTGAAAAACTAAGTTTTGTACTTAGTTTACGCGACGAAGCCGTTTAAAAGTTGTTTCATTTATGGATAATGTGTGTTTTAATATAATATAAGAAATCACTGTTTATTATTTCAGGTCATATTTCTTTCTGCGACGATTTTCTTGTCGTTTGCGTCCGCATCTCTATTGTTCGTGTTGGTAGAAGCGCCTATAGGAGGTATTGTTCATGCAGTCACCGCGGGTAGCAAGAAGGAGGATAAAGAGGATGGTGATAAGTAGTGATAGATGAAGAAAAATAATGACATTAAATGCAATCGTTATTCACACAACGGAGATATGGAATTATAATGGTGAACAATGAACGCGTTGAGTGAAAAATTAGCCTAATAATAATATATTTATGATTTTTTCATGGACTTTTATTTCACCATATTTCAATAGTTGTTAATAGTATAGTAAGACTTATGGTTAGTTGCAGAAACATTCATTAAGGTTTAATGACGCCTTTAACCTCTATTGAATGTCTAAATAGTATGGGTAGTGTCACGTTAATCTAATGAAAATGGATGTTTGTGCAACTGGCTGTTAGTGTTATTGATGAAGCTGAAGAAAAGTTGGTAATATTAATTTTTGATTTATAACTATTGACATGGCTTGTTTTTTGGTTTACTCGAGAGAAACTTAGTATGTGTCACTTGAGTATTATTTATGTCTAATATCGGGTTAATTTAAGTAAATAATATAAAGCATCAAAGACTGTAATTGAGATTGTCGTCAATTTTTAGAAGTCGTTGTTCGAAAGTGGGCTTTATACGTACATTATAAGTGTGTCGGTTATATTTGTTTGTTGATAAAAATAGAAAACAGTGAAAATTAAAAAAAAAGGTTTCAATCTAAAGAAGAATTACATGACGATTTCCATCCCCTAAGAAGACTGTATTAATTTAACTTTACCTATAGTAGAATATTACAACTTGTTCAGGTAAAGTAGTATCATATTTATATAGTTTAGAATAGATAATCTAAAGTTAATAGTTACGGAATTATTATATTTATGCTGTGCATTTACACACTGATCTTTTCTTATGGAAATAATATTACAAAACGGAGCATAAATATAACTAAAACATCTAAAAATAGTAAGAAATAAAAAAATCCATTCAAATTTTGTTTTATTTAAAACTAGCTTGCTGTCAGTGGCATGGTCCTGTATTACACGTATGAATCCCCCTCTTGAATAACTTTGTTTAATAATCTATTGTGTGGTTTGAAAAACTGTGGGGAGTGACTTTATTTAAACATACAGCATATGGCATAATGAAAAATACTCTAGGAACAATATGTTATCCATTTCACAGACATCAGAGACAGAAAATGGTATATTTACTCTTTGAGAATAGTTTTGTTCTGTCAATTCTTTTCATGAAAGTCGTTTCCAATACAAAAAATTATAAAATGATTTTAACCTAAAGGAATCTTAGAAAATTATAAATTTCGATTACCTCCTCAAAATTTTAGTGTACTTCATGGTGCCCTCATTATTAAATATAATAATGCCGAAACGTCCTTCAGAATTGTTACAGCAGGTGATGTCTGTATTCAAAGGTCTGGATAAAAAGTTGGATAAGCTGCAAGATGACGTGAACAGTCAAAACCAGACACTAACTGACTTGAGAATAATGGTTGCGAACTTATCAGGCTCGTTTGACAGCGAAGTCAGAAAGAAACCTTCAAGGAAGGCAACAGCCGTTCAACGAGATGTTCAAACAAATATAGAAGAGACACGAAAAATAAAATCAAAGAACATAACTCAATCTTTACCTAGTAAAATAAAGACAAAAAGCATGCCAGTACAAAAAATCGGCTTAAAAATGTCTGAACCTAATGAGAAGTTTGTAAAGAAAGCGCAATCCTCACCTGCTAAAGTGGGAAAACTTTCTACGAGATTATTAAAGGCGGAAGCTCCCCGAAAAGCTACAACTCTGAGGACTCAAAAAAATAAAATAGATAAGAAGAGAAACAAAACCATGAACTAAAACATGATAGGATAATACCTCATTCTTTGATTTTATAATACGTTATTTGTTTTAATTCATATAAACTCTGATTGTAATGATTAAAAATATGGAAAATAAGGTTCAATAAAACAAAATGTTTCTCTCTATAATTTATTTAATTGTATTTCTAATTTTCCTTGAACAAATTTAAGTAGCAGTAACGGTGCAGAGAGATTTTGTGCTGTTGTGTTTGTTTCTATTTCATCTGTACTCAAGTTTTGCTCACTGCCTTTTTTTGATTTTTTTTGCTGCTTCCAAAACTGGTATTTCGACATTTCCCGTATCTGTCAAGAAAAATTTTTTTCCTCACTAATAACAGTCATCAATAATTAAATAAGGTACTTTCCGAGACCAAACAAACAACCTGTTACAAAAAGTATGAAGTCACCTAAAGGCTGTATATAAACATATACATACAAATAATTTCTTACATCTTATAATAAACAATCTCAGCTATCAATATAAATATTGAGAGAGCTGTGCCGTAGAGCATGAATATTAGAACAGGAGCGAGGTCTAAGAAACCCACGCTGCTAAATGCCGACATTGTGTTGGAACATCGTGGTTTCTGCACCTGGAATCGTTTGACCAGTGCGGACTGGAGTCCAGACTCACGGATCTGCTTAAACCTAAACAATATGAAAATATAGGATTAAAAAACAATTTATTGGGCAAGCGATATGTTAAAATGCACTGACACTTTCAGTTGCTATTATAATATCATAGGCATTTTATAGCTATTAATTTGTAGAAGGGTTAGAATTTAGATAGGTTATTTTTACTGCTAGACGTACTGTTCTTTTCGGAAGTAAGCGTGAAGGATATTAGTTTCATAGTCTCACAAAATTTCCGATACATTTCAGTAGCGTTGTTGTAGCGTTGCAGACTTAACATCTTACACCATTTTAATATACCGGAGAGGGTGGCAAGATGGGGTACTTAAGCTTTGAAGGTCGATAAAATAAAAAAAAAACAATGAAATAATCATATTTATTTTTTGAATAACGAATTATTGTTACTATTCCAATATTTGGTGTCAGTAGCAACTTTTAGTTACATATTTTAGAGAAAAAAATATGAATAAAAAAAAGGTGTTTTGCCCCGTCTTTCCCCATGGTGCTGGTAAGATGGGGTACCCCCTTGAGGTAAGATGGGGTGATGAAAATGATCCCAGAGAAAGTTGAATACTTAGGGCTGGTAGAATTCGCAGACGTGCATGGCTTCATCAACATCATTATCTATTCCTGCGCAGCTATTATGAGACCATCTTCCACATACTGAGCTTGATATCCACCCTTCAATGGAAACAGAATATACTTCCGAACAATACACGCATAGCCTGTCCCCCTCTTCTTCACTTTCATCTTTTGATGATGAGACTTTTCGTCGTTTAGCGTTGAAATTTCATTGTTCGGCTATTTTTACGGAAAACAAACAAGAACATCATTTTTCTCATTGGGGGGCAAGAGTTACCCCATTTTGCGTACAGAGCCATTTTCTAGCAATAAAAACAAAAAAAAAAACCAGTCAACAATCTTAAGGAAACACAATGCCTACTTTATTATAGAATAGTTTAAGCGTCAATCACAGCAACACCTCACCAGCTAGCGTTATTGAACAAACCACAGTCACGTGTCAAACCCAAAGAAAATATGATAAGCAGTTTGCAGTAAAATATTTTTTTGACTGTTCGATATGTGTGCACTTGCGAACCATCAATCGCTGGGTGACTGTTAAGTATCATGGTGGCGCATCGAACGATGAATAAACGAGTGTGATTGGTTACTTTGAACTGTGAATTTCGCTGGGTACCCCGTCTTACCCGCTACCCCGTCTTACCTCATTCTCCCCTAATATTAGACATGAATTGCATCAAGCGATCATTTTTTAATTATAATGTAACAAATACAAATTAAAAAATGAATTAAAACTTATTTCAAACATTTTTAAGGTTATTAGGTATTACATTTTTTCAGATGTTTCGGGTCCTGAAAAGATCTTTTTTTAACTTATTATTTAACTTATAGTCAGTCAGTCTCAACGTTATACTCACACTACTCTGATCATCTCTAGGTAAGGAGAATCTTTTTTAACTGGTATGAAGGCATCAAAGCCGTTTACATAGTCTATCTCAGTTAGGTCGCATTTCTCAGATTCCAAGAACGTATCTTTGATACGGCGGTAAATTGGTCCCACTAGAGAATGCAAAGCGAACATTCCCTGCAATTGAAACATTTACTTCAGATGCCAGGAATATGGGGAATATTGTTTTACATATCCAAACAGAAAAATTAAATAGAATAGGACAACGACTCTTAGTCAGCTTTAAAAATCTGAAGTCATAATTAGATTATTTTATAAATATTACATTGGATAGTGGTAATGCACTATTGCTGCTGCAAATTATGCAGGCGTGTAGAATGCGAAATCTCCTGCAAGCCGCATGTACATGTCAACGATTAGTAACTATTATTGAAGCATTAGGCGTAATTAAATACAAAATAATGTAAATAATATTCCCACAGAGGCAAAACTTTAACAATGATATTGATCAGTTTTGTGGTAAAAAAAAAAACAACGTCTTTATTGTAAACTAATGTTATTTGTGTGTGTGTGTGTTCAGAATTTTTATATGATGTAACTGTATTGTTAGTTCTATACTGAAGTCAATATCAAAATGTAAAACCTATCTATTCGAAATTTCTTTCTTTGATATCATTAAGTAAAGGTTATAATTAAGTACTCGTGCTTTATGATATGATAGAACAGTTTATAAGATGAGATCAAAAAGATGTTATTACCTGTCTTATTTTCTCAGTGCCATCGTTGATACTATAAAACTGCGGTTTATCGTTTTCTGATATCACCCTTTTGGTGATTTCTAAGTGTATTTTATCTTTATGTTGCTGTCAATAAGAAACAAGTAGAATACATTATTGCAATTATAACAAAATAATGTTTGTACAGCAGGAGACTTTGGACTGTACGGTACTGAATGGATGTGCAAGTTACAAAATATCGTAATTGTAAAGAAAATTGAAGTTCAGAGGTAAGACCCGATTTGAATTAATATTTTCGTATATATTTTTAATGTATATACGGATAGAGAGCAAAAGAAGGACAACAGAAATATAAGTATAGGGAGTATAATGTTAATAAAGATTCGATAAGAAGGATAGAGGAAGAGATCACACTGCGCCGACATCAAATAATTTGTAACCAGATTAGGAAATAATCAGTGTATACATTTAAAAGGAATCTGCTGTAGTCGACGTCCAGGGCTGCGAGCGTCATCTTAGACTCAGAAAGATGTGCCAGTGAACGTATGGAGTTAGACGGAGCTTGAAGAAGTACCACTATGTTAGCTGAGTATGCTGCGTATAGCGCCATCAACGCGGCAAACAGTACCCATTCCATAATGCGACCTGTTTTGAAATAGTTATCGTAAATCCATAATTATTTCTTTTAATAATCTATGATAATTGTCAATATTACATCTTGTGATTTACTCTCCTTGTTAATATTTTTGTTATAATATAGATATGTTTGGAGCAGTTTGAATTGGTACCCATTTTTGATGCTCACTTTATTGTGATTTTTTTTTTCTTCCTTTTTAAACATTGCCGAAAAAAGATTAAAAGCACTTCTATATACGGAATAAAATATGATGAAAATTCACCTGGCGCTCGTCTGGGTTCAATAAAGCAACCCTGTTGAGCAACAGCACTCATTGTGAGTAGCAGAGCATCTGCTATACTGCCATCGAGCTGAGACGCACTCTGATCGAGTAAAAGCAATATAAATACGTATTCGTTAGAATTATTAAAGACTTCTCATAAATTATATTATCCTATTATAATATTATAAATGTGAAAGTTTCTATGTTTGAATGTTTATCCGTCAATAACGCCGATACTGAAAGTAATTTGATGAATTTTGGTATGCAGATAGGGTATTAGCTGACTTAGATAATAGGATACTTTTATCCCACTAAACATTTCCTTAGGGACCACGCGTGCGAAGCCGCTGGCGAAAGCTAGTGTATACTAAACATGAAATAGCCACAGTTTATGTTGGAATATGATTTATTACATAAGAGAGAGAGGGGGCAGTCAATAGCGGCTGTTTTAAATTCAAGTAGCGGAAAGGGAGAAGTTTCCTTGATTCCCATGATTAATAAATGACAATAAGCAACTAAAACTTCAAGGGAGTCAAGTAGATAGAAATTACTTAAAAATAAATAAAAAAACAAACTTTAAAAAAATAGAACAGACTTCAATAGAATGTTCTTGAAATTGCTTATGCTTGCTTGAAATTAGAGATAAGTGTTATTTAGCATGTTTTTAAAGTTTGTAGTCGGTTCTTTTTTTTTTTAAGTTTTTCTTTTATGCTTTTTAGAGATATTGATATTTTTTATATCATAGGCAACACTAAAATTATTAAATGTATATATAAATAACAAACAACATACTGAAAGTCTTAGAAAAGTAGGTTTTATACATAATTTATTCACATAATTCTATACTTATATTTTAAAAAGAGTATACGCGTTGGACATAGACATTAATGTAGGCGAGACGCGGGGAAATAGCTAGTTTAATAGAAATTGGTTCATATTCAAGAAGAAATTGATTAACATACCTATTTTCTAAAAAATATATGTACATACTCCAGATTTTGAATGAATTCCAAATACGCAATCTTTTGTTTTTTTAGCTGAAATCGGCTATGTCTCATCATACCAACTAAATATTTGGGTGATATTCGGTGGAAAGCATATTTTGTTTTCTTATAAAAGGAAAACTACTAATTAGATTTCGATAAAATTTAAATAGGACCATCACGGTCCATTAAGTTATCGAATACTCGAGAATTTTGAAAATCTGTCAACAATTGGCGGAAATATCGGTGAACATACATAAAAAAATACATAGCCGTCGAACCTCCTCCTTTTGGATTTTGAAGTCTGTTAAAAATAAAGTATGCTAAAATAAGGTTAATATACAAATTACGGTTTCAATTGAAGCCTCCCATTTGCTGGCAAGGTAGAGAGTGAGGGTAGACACAGCAACACAAGCTACGATCGCTACCCACACGCTGGTGGAGAACGGCAGTGAGAATATATTGGAGACGCTCGTCAGAGGCGGCTGGCGGAATATGAAGCGTGTACGGATCGGCGCTACCACATCCGTGTAAGTCACCACGTCTAGTCTATCAGCGAAGAGGAAGCAGTTGGTAGCTTTATAACGAGAAAAGAATTATCCAATAATGATAATTACATTACTTCTTATCACACTAAAAGGTTGTTATGGATTGGCCATCAAATCAATCTCTGTAAACGAGTATAAGTTTAATTTTTCATTTTATGATTTATGTTTCATGTTTCATGTTTTTTTTTTCTCTTATGTCTTGTCACGGGTCTGGGTGTTATTAACTTGTTTCTGATTTCCATAATACAAGTGCTTTAAGCACTTGTATTAGCTACCTACTTAAATGGGATCTAAACGTACATTTCATGAACATTAATGAACAAACTTTCATTTAATGATCTATCTTTTTTATATGTGTTCAGACAAGATAGATTATTAACATTACGTTACGTATAGTATCTTTACTTACCTCAAATTAATATTTACTGATAACAACTATTAAAAAGTAATATTATACTACTAATACGCATCCATGTATTAGTAGTATACATGGATGCGTATTATTATACATCCTTTTTTATGTATGATGTTTTAAACTTTAATGGTCATATACGCATAATAATAGTTATCTATGAATATCTAAGAAATTGATATTTCTTAGATATTCATAGATAACTATTATTATGTGTTAATATCGCTGACCACTTTTCTCATTCAATGTATATTATGTGTAATTGCTATTTTAAAGTATTTGTGTAAGTAATAGACTTGATTTTATTGGTAGATTACCGCCTAGTATTTTATTATGAGCAATATCTAACGATTTTATTTTTAACTAGTAGCAAATATAATTGGTACTATGTTTTAGTGACTTGGTAATATGTTTTAGTGAGATAAAATGAAGACATATGTTTTTACCGAGATCCGCTTTGTTAGAGACAATATCGGCAATCATTCCAGTCCATCGGCCGTCCACCAAGTAGCCCCATCGATAGCTGAAGATATAACGAGGCGTCGCATTCAACATTTCGAAAGCGTGTGTAGCTGCTATCCAGCAGAGTTTTGTGTCAGCGTCATGCTGAAGATCTCTGAAAGGAGTTAGAAGACTTCTTAACCCCTTTAACGTTCGTATTCTTAATTAAACGACCAGGAAGAAAAGATTGGGTGTATTGAACGTATAGAGAAAAGGATTTGAATTTGCTTGATTTAAGATCCAAAAGCAGATGTTTTAATGCCAAGACAGGTACAAACAAAGACAAAGATTGTCATTATTATCGTTTTACATAACATTATTATTATTTTCACAGCTTAAACCGGGGTGATTTTGTATTATTTATCGCATTTAGAAATACAAAGAGACTTCTCTACTAGTCAATCAGAAAAACATGGAGCCTGTTTATAAGGTAATGAGAATAAAACAGAAGCCAGAATATTATAAAATCTAAATATCAAAATCATATGTAACGATATAGTCTAAAATAAACCAAAAATTAAATTCGATTTTTGTTACTACCTACCTAAATTAATAAAAGAAATCTAAATATATATAACTCAAAGGTGACTGACTGACATAGTGATCTATCAACGCACAGCCCAACCCACTGGACGGATTGGGCTGAAATTTGGCATACAGGTAGATGTTATGACGTAGGCATCCGCTAAGAAAGGATTTTGATCAATTCTATCCCCAAGGGGATAAAATAGGGGATGAAAGTTTGTATGAAATTTTGTCAATTTTAAACCGATCGGGCTGAACTTTGCATACATAAGGCTACTATGACGTAGGCATTCTCTAAGAAAGGAATTTGATTGATTCTACTCCCAAGGGGATAAAATAGGGGATGAAAGTTTGTATAAAACTTTGTCAATTTTAAGGGCTTAGACTTTGCATGCATAATGCTACTATGAGGTAAGCATCCCCTAAGAAAGGATTTTGATAAATTCCACCCCTAAGGACATAAGATGAAAATGAAATGAAATGAAAAAAATCTTTATTGCTTCTTATAACAAAATTACATGGGCCATTTAAATAGTTTCTTTAAACAGGTATTGTATTATTTTGTTATAGTGCAAAAGGATAGTGCAAAAGGAAGAAGATAAGAGGATAAGACTTTGTTTCAGGTATTTTACACGATATAATGAATAAATATTCGTTAGAAATGCTGCTCAAAGTAACTTTACCACGCGAACGAAGTCGCAGGCAAAAGCTAGTCTATATATACGTTAGCAAAATTTAAGAGTATTGCGAGCGCCTGATGGCCCATTGGCTAGCGCATTCGGTCCGCAAGGGCCGGTCATAAGACCGATTATTAATTTTCAATCCATAGGGAAGGGCTGTGCACCAATATAATAAAAGCCTAATGATGATATATCTAATTTATACGTTTGTCCGTTTGCTATTGAACCTTAATTATAAGACTTACAATCTATCTTCTTTCAGCATGTGGTCTTTTGTGTTATTACTTTCTTGAATAACATTAGCCATTGTAAGAGGATGCCGCATTAGATTCCTCCTCCGACGAAACAGTTCTTTGTGAGGTCGTGTATCGAATATTGTTCCATTGTAATGCCCTCTTGATACAAATTGCATGGGATGATTAATCGATGGCCTATAAACTAAATCGAATACACATATTAAGAGGAATAAATGAAATCTTAACACACTCAATAGACCAATATGGTGACAATTTTCTTCAAGCAGCCGCTAGATAATGTTGTTATTGTTATTAAAATTACAAGACTATTTGTAATGAATTTGAATAAAATAAATTATAAAAAGTCTAGATAATATATCACTGCATATTTATTCTAGTGTCAAACGGCTATTCATGGGACAGCAAATTCGCATACTTAACTGATTACATAACTAACACAGCAATATCAATAACTAAATAAAAAAATATGGAATTTTGTTAATATCCTCACCTTCAGTCAAAAGGATTTTTTCTCCAATATTGTCGGCTAACACTACATCACTGTCACTTAAAATTGGATGACTCAAAAGCAAAGTGTTTGTATAATTTATATCTCTAGAGGACAACATTAACCAACGGAAAGGAAACTGAAATATATTTCGTGATGTAGCCTGAAATATCTTAAGGTATTCAATTAAAGCTCAATAGCGCATCAAAACAATACCACCAAAGTGGAATGTTCTTGTTAAGTAGTATACATGTAATATTTTTTTTTATTTTTTTATATATATTTTTAACAATGTATAGAGCCGCTGCATTCACATATCAGTACGCAGTAGAAAAGCTGGGTTGCCATAATATTAGGTCCTTACATATGAAATTGGCGTTAGGTCGTTCTGGCCGCTTTAATCACCAATTTCTCCTCCTTGGTTGGGAATTCCAAATTCAAATTTATGCAGCCATTTACACGTGTATTTGTGTTTCGTTAAGCGGCATCATTTGTTTCTTTTTTCTTCTGTTTATCCTGTTTATGTCGCCCAGTATAAAAAATGGAAAACTTGAAATATCGTGCTATTTACGAGTAAGAGTTCCACCGTGGTTCTACTAGTGCTGCGGAAACGGCTCGAAGGATTAATGATGTGTATGGCGGTTGTGTAAAAGAAAACACGGTTTTTTTGGTTCGAACGTTTTCGTTCTGGAAATTTCGACCTGCAGAACAAGCCCCGTGGCGGACGGAGACCCAAGTTAAAAATGAAGAATTAAAGGCTATTGTGGAAGCGGATCCATCGCAAACCACGTCCGAGTTAGCTGCAGGCTGCGGTGTAAGGGATAAAACTGTTTTAATCCACTTGAAGCAAATTGGAAATGGGTAACTCATGAATTAAGTGAAGCAAACCGTCAAACGTGCTTCGACTGCTGCGTTACGTTACTTAAACGGCACAATAATAAAGGGTTTTTAAATCGAATCATTACCTGTGCTGAAAAATGGATTCTCAACGATAATCGGAAGCGCTCATCGCAATGGTTGAACCTGGCATGCCAGCCAAATCCTGCCCCAAGCAAAAATTGCCCCAAAAAAGTTACTTGTAAACGTTTGGTGGACTAGTGCCGGTGTGGTTCATTACAGTTTTCTCAAATCTGACCAGACGATTACGGCAGACGTCTATTGTCAGCGATTGCAAACCATTTTGGAAAAACTAACTGTTAAACAACCGAAGCTGGTCAATCACACTGCACAACAGACGGCTACCAAATTAGAAGAGCTTCAATTGGAATGTGTAAGACATACACCGTACTCCCCGGACCTTGCTCCAAAAGATTACCATTTTTTTCGAAATTTGGATAACTTATTACAAGGTTGCAAAATTCAACTTCGATGGGACAGTGAAAATCACCTTCAAAGATTTTATTGATGCCCGTCCGAATAGTTTTTTAGTAAGGGGATCAATGAACTACCTATGAGATGGCAAAAGTGCATAGATAACAATGGTTTATACTTTGATTAAATTAATATATTACATTAAAAAATATTTGACTTTTTGTTCCTCCCATACCAAACACCAATTTCATATGTAAGGACCTAATATAGCCTCACAATTATTATTCGCTACACAAAGAGACTCTAGGGCAGGACATAGGATTTCAGTAGCCAGACCGACTTTCAAAAAGTCTTAATGCAAATATTCCAATTTTTTTATAAAGTAATTTTTTCTAACACTCGTATTAATATATTAAAGGGTGCAGATAAAATCAAATCAGTCAAAATACGTTGAAAATTAAACTTTTTTAAAGGCTATTGAATACATACTTCTACATATTATTTGTTACTTACGTTTAACAGAACTTCTCTAGATAGAGAACATTCTAGATCCACAAGTAAGAGTAAGTTATGATCCTGACATGAATACTTTGTTGGCAATAATGATGAACATCTTATTCCACATTTGGTAACTTCGTTTATCAAATTTATTTCTAATTCTGTAATTAAATGTACGTTCGAACATATATTACAGTAGCACTGTTCATAATGCCCTAATTTATCACTCGGTCCATAATAGTTCATCGATTTTTACTTACTTTTTTCCCAACATAAGCCAGCGTATAGTAACTGAGTAGGTTTTTCTTCGCTAACGATATAGTCTTTAACAAATTTAATAGTAAATTCATCTCTACATGTTATAAATTTCAAAAAAGCAAGACAAACAATTAAAGCGTTCATTTTGGTTGAGCGATAAACTTTAGAATACAGCTATGAGACATCAGTACAATTTTATATTGCTAAATGTGGGTAACATTTCTTTATATTAATATTTCATCAAAGACTTATGGAGACATTCTAAGTGTCCAATGATTGCGTGCTGTCAGCTTAAATGAATACAATTTTCTACAATCCTTGTCTTTGCTACTCAACTAATTAAGTGCTATTATTTGTATAACAAATATTGACAACTATTATTGCTTTACTAATATTGAAATTATGAAGCTTTTAGACTATTGCTTCGTCTCGTTTTGCTTGTCTTCTTTATAATTGTTCTGGAATAAAATTAAAAGTTTATTTAAAACATTAAATGATTCATGTATGTATATTTAAAAATCTTTATAAAAATATTTTATAATTATAAAAATATCCTATGACAGCCCAGAAGTATTATATATAATATCTGAAATAGCTATATTCTACGCGAATGATTTAGGCTATAATTTACACCGGCCAAAGCTCGAGAAAACAGTCAGTAATTATAATAAAGCACACAACTTAGGTCACTTTTAAATGTCTAGAACTAAATTTTGGTTCTGGAGAATTATCTTTGTATAAGGTAAGGTTATATAAAGTCGACTTACAGGCGGTGATAAGCCAGCTCTAAAATGAGTACAGCTGGTGCTAAAAGAGTCATGTAGACTGTAGCCAACATGGCCGGGTACATGTCAGTGATGCCGACACTGCTAAAAGCTGATACAGCGCCTGAACAACGTGGCCGAGGTACGTGCAGACGACGATGGATGCAAGATTGTACACCTGACTCACGTATTTTTATAAAGCTGTAATAAAAGTATTTTATGGGCTGGGCATAAATAAAGTGTCATCTGCCGACACTACTGCAGAGAAATTACAGAATTGTTTATGATATAAAATTAGGATGCAATAAGACTTTAGTTGGACTTACAAAATGATATAGATTTCTGTTTTAAATTCTGCACCCAAAGGCTAAAACGGGACCCTGTTATTAAAACTTTGCTGCCCGTCCGTCCGTCTGTCTGTTTGTACATCACCAGTCTGTATCTTGTGAACCGCAATAGTTAGACTGTTGAAATTTTTAGAGATGATGTATTTCTGTTGTTGCTATAACAACAAATACTAAAAAAAACTAAATAAAAAAAATATATAAAGGCCCCCAAACAAAAAAAAAGTGATTATTTTGCTTATCTCCGGTACGAAACCCTTTGTGCGTGAGTTTCACTGACACTTGGCCGGTTTGATGCCTATACCTACGTCGTCCCAAGTCGGATGCAAATGTCTACCATCATCTACGCACGGTTTAGGATTGGACTACATCTAGCAGCATGGTATTGACTTATTCCGTCGTCCCACCACCATGAACCGCCATTTGTTAAAGGGAAACGGGTAAAAAGTATGCCGCGGAATCCTTAAGTATTATAGACAACATGCTTGTTTGCAACCAGATGTTGTTTAATCCTTAATGTATCTTTACTTTTTAAGCGAGACTTGAATTGAATGAAAATAAAGAAAACCTTTATTCATTCAGATGACTAAAGTTTACGCTTATTACAAGCTCTTTTAATAGACCATTTACTTCTTCACTGCCACTCGCTCCGGACGTCTTTTAGCTATAAAGAAGAATGATCGAAAGAAACTAGCTTTTTATCAGAAGTAACGTCATTTACGTCAATCATGTCATCACCAAAATACGAATGAAAAGTTTTCGGCCCGACCAAGAAAACAAAGAAAATAAAAACATATTTTATTGTTCTACATATTCTCCCCTTTTCTCAATACAATGGCAATTGTCATATGATTGAATAAAGAATCGAGCTGTCGAATGCAATAAACTAGTTTTCATACTACCTCAAATCTCGGTCAGGCCGACAACTTTTTAAACCACCCTCGAAGTATTTACAATAATAATTATCAGCGTCTCTCTGGATAACATAGGTACTCTGCACTTATTATATTTATTATAAAGCGAATGTCGATCGTTACAAACTTTATTTTGAAGAGGTCCTTAAATGGGGATCTCTTTTGACTGGGAACCCAAGGATCAATTTCGTTTATGTAATCGATTTCTACTAAATCACATTTCTCATCCTCGCGGTAAGTCTCTTGAATAAGCCGATATCCTGGATTTAATTCCATGTGGAAAGCAAATAAACCCTAAAATAGATGTTTAATTTATTATATTTGATTAATTTTGCATTCCCAATGCTATATTATGATTATATTGATAATATATTTAATAAAAAACGCTTTTTAGTTGGTCCTGTCGAGTCTCGAGTAGCTCAATGGTTAGAGCAGTCGGATAGCAAAATGTAAATATTGTTTCTTTTAAAAGTC